GATGGTCACGCCGCAATCCCTTCTCCTCCATTCTCCTCTCGGGATCTTGGGCACGCACGCACACGCGCCCGGCGTGAGTTTTAAGCCACCGGGTCCAGGACACGAACCGCGGTTGACTACGTGGGAGTCCAGCGACATAGCCATTACGCTAACTGCTGGTTCCCAACCATTCTTTTCATATACATAGATGTAATATAAATACATATTACATCTACATATGTAATATACATATTACATCTATATATATTATATTTATTACATCTATCTATATATATTACATATATCTATATATATTACATCTACCTATGTCTATATGTGAAACATCTATATATGTAAATTTCACTTTGTGTACTTCTTTACCTTAGTACTACTTTAGATCTCACAAATTTTGATATATCTTCATCATATTTTAGTTCAAAACATTTTCTTCTCTGACTGATGGATTTAGAAGTATGTTATTTAATAGCAAACATTTAAAGACTTTCTACATTCAATACATGATAGAGAATGTAAAATAGCAAACATACAATACATAAAATATAATTAAAAAACTAGAAGTTTCTTCTTTGAAAAAATTTATAAAATTGATAAATTCTTATCAAGTCTGAATTTAAAAAGAGAAAACAGATTATTAACATCAGAAGTGAAGATAGCATCATTATAAGCTTTACAGACATTATAAAGATAGTAGTTCATTAGCCAATAAATTTGACAACTTTCATGAAATATATAAATTCCTTGCAAAGTGCAACACAAGGGGCTGGCAAGTGATGTGGTGGTTAAGGCATCTGGACTCCCACATCTGAACCACTTGACCATGGTTCAAGTCCTAAACCTGGCAGTTTGCTTTCTCACTTTCCTTCTCTCTTTCTGTCTCTCTTTGGTCAACTTTAGTAAAATTTAAAATAATGGTAATAATAATGACAATGAATAAATTAAAATTAAAATAATTCTTTAAAAAATGCAACACAAAACATTGAAAATCTAGAGTCCTATATCTATTAAAGAAATTAAATTTGTGATTTAAAACTTTCCACCAAAGAAAATGACAAGCCTGGATAGCTTTACCAGTACATTTTTTCCAACACTTAAGGAAAAAATTAGACTAATATACAAACGCAGGGGACAGAAAAAGACTTAAGGAAAAAATTAGACTAATATACAAACACACGGAACAGAAAAAGGAAATCTCTGAACTTGATTTATGAGGCTATTATAATGCTAATATGGAAAATTGGCAAGGACATTACACGATTTTTTAAAAAATTTATTTCAGGCTAATATACTTCTTCTGAACGTAAATGCAAAATATCAAATCTAGGGCTAGCTCTATGGTATATTTAAGCACTGCACAGAGGAAGCAAGATCCCACATGACTGACCAGAGTTCAAATCCTGGCCCGATCAGCTTCACACTGGGCTTGTGCATATGTGCTCAAAATGGGATAAAGAACTGGAGGAAAAAGGATTTCAGTGTAACCAGGCCCCTTTGGAGGGGGTGTCTTCGCTCTCCCTCTCTCTTTCTCTCACTCTGTCACTCTTTTTCTCTTATACATATGTGCATTCTCTATCATAAATAAAAGCAAACATTTTTTTAAAAATCTTTTTTTAAAAAAATCAGATCCAAGGGCCATCAGGTAGCATGGTAGTTGGGGCACTAGACTCTCACATGACCAACCATGGTTTAAGTCCCAAACCTGGCGGCTCACTTTCTCTTTTTTCCTCTCTCTCTCAGTCTTTTTCTGGTGAGCATATGTACCCTATAGTAAATTTTAAAATAATAATAATAAGTAAAGTGAAATAATTATTTAAAAATTGTTTTAAAAATCAGATCCAGAAATATATACTTTTTAAAAAGTATACATTATTAACCAATAAGATTTATTCCAGGAATGCAAGGTTGGTTTAACATCCAAGAATTAGTCAATGTAGTTAATCATATTACTAGAATAAAAAAGAAAATATGTGATCATCTCAGTAGGTGTAAGAAAAGAAAAATCAGTTGATGGAATGCAGCTTTGAGTTGATTACTTTCCAGGTTCCCAGCCCTTATTCCTTGTTTCCTATATCCTCGTAGAGTTTTTCTGCATAGGAAACAAAGAGCTTAGGGTCTGCTCTCCAGGAATAGAGCTTCTTAGGAAGGAGCCTTTGAGGGTCTAACGATCCTCTTTTCCTCTTCTCCTTTCCCAGGATGACAATATCATGAGGTCTCTTCAGCTGTTCCAAAATGTCATGTAACTGAGGACACAGCCATCCAGCTCTCAGAGACATTGTACTCAACCACCACCTTGACACCCTGATCTGCCCATGTTCTGATTGTACAAACCAACTCTTGGGACAGGAACACCTTTTACACTTTGGAAGATTTCTCTGCCGAAGACTTTTTATGGAACCCAGCACCATGTGGGCCAGTCTCTGATTGCCAACTCTTCCTCCTCCCTCTTCTTGAGTGAGATGTGATGGAATTTGAGTTTGTTTTGGAAGCATGCTCATCTCTTCACATGGCTGCCCTGTGGAAGGTCCCTCTGCTTGAGCTTATCCAGTAGTGCACAGTTTGCTTCCATGCCCAGCCCACCGCCTCCAAGCCAAGCAAATCATGATAAAGCTGCAAGCAAGAGGACCTAAACCAAATGCACACCATCCTCTGATGGCCTCCCAGACCAACGTGCCTGTTTCTCTTCCTCTGGGAAGAACGAGTGTTAACACAGAACAATCAGAATCTACCGTGACTAGTTGGGAGAGCCAGCACCTAACACGTGTAGGATAGGACTGAATTGTTAAGCATGGCATCATCTGATGACCCAAACTGCCCATGTCATTTGTTTCCAGAGGCAATGACCAGTTAATTCTCTCGCACCAGCATCTGTGCTGGTGGCCCAAGTCCTTTAACATGCCCAGGAAGGGAGCCATTGCCCTGTGGCCCATACCTCATGCCATCCCCTGCTCGAGCCCAACACTGCATGTCCCTCCCGGGGAGTCCAGAATGCCTGCAAAATGCTGTAATTTTCTACCATGTTCTAATCAAATAAAGAGAACTGTTTCTTACACTCTCAATCATTTCTTCCATGACTGCATTGGGCAGGCGAGGTAAGTTGTGAAAAGGAAAGGTTAGTCCATTCCTACCTCTAGTTAGCACTTCTTACTTTGTTCCAGGCACTATGCCAGGCAGTAACATCATCCTCCCCAGCCCCCAAACCTTCCCTAGAAAACATTCCATTCTAATGCAAATCCCACCACCATATGCAAATACAACTTCAAGACAAGATCCTTCACAACACCTGCCTAAGGTAGCAGGGTAATAGACAGGGACACTTCTGGGAGAGTAAACCCTTCCCATTCTATTACAGAGACTTCCTAGGTGGGAATTCCATCTTACTCCAAGGAACAGAGTATTGCCCACAAACCTCATTCATCTGTCATCCATTCATGGAGGTGTGACTCCATGGTGTTGCCAGCAAAGCATGGGTCTCAGTTTCACTGCTCCTCCTGAATCATCTAACAAATTTCACGTTCTCACCTGCTGATAGGGGCTCAGCACAGAGCAGATGCCTCCTTGCCCATGCTACCTTGGCACCACCATTACCACGCAAATGGACTCAACTGCTGCTGACTTCAAATGTCTGAGACTTTTTGTCTGAGACTCTAATGGTCACAGTGTCTGACCGTGACAGGGCCACATTGCCCCCGGAAGAAGGGGGTCACCAGCACTTCCAGGGAGTAGCCCTTAGCCAATGACTCTTGAGAACTGGCAGATAAATACCACAGACCCTGCTCCTCTCAGTAGGAAGAACTCTGAAGGCTCTTCTATACTCACTTAGACTGCCCCAGTAGGATCAAGCCCCAATTGCCAAGAGCAGTAACCTACTCAGAAATGCACCCTGAATTGACTTTACTCCCTTTGCTGCCTCCTGTCCTATACCTTCCTACAGTGCTTCCTGGATCGCCTCACACATATGCTACCGGGCCTGACATCCTTGTCACACGGTTGGCAGCAAGAAGAATCTAACACAAACAAGGAATAAGACAGATGTGTCCTGCTCTCAGGGATGAAATATACAAAATGAGTGTAGACGAAGTCACATGAAGAGAATAAATATGTGACATCATAGGGAATGACAAGGTGGTAGACAATGCTTCTCTGAGAAGCAGATGGCCGAGCGTGACATTATCTCCAGTTAAGGGGAGAGGATCACAGGATTCTGCAGAAGATCTGGACCTGGGCCTGCTGTCACTCACTGTTCAGGCACCTGAGATTGACCCCCTGTTAGGATAAGAAAATCACTTCTGGAGTAAAAATGGAGGACACCACTGTGACAGTTCCTCTTGTTCTCCAGTATCACATCTCTGAATAAGTACTCTCGGCAGGGGCCATAAAGACCCATTTGAGAGGCTCCCAGGAGGAAGCAGAGATGAGGCTAGGAACCACTGCTCCGTGCCAGGTTCTCTATGGACAGTTTCTTTCTTAAGTCTCCTAACAGCCCTGTGAGACGGATATGCTAGGCACTTAGATTTTAGATGGAGATCTTATACCAAGACACACAGAAGGCCTTGCCCACAGTTGGAAATGAACTTAAAAGTCGGCCACACTCCACAATCCATGCCCACCTTTATCTTGTAGAAAACATGAAGACCATTCTCCACCTGCTCTTAAAACTTGCTCTAATAATATACAAACACCAGGAGGTAATGGAAAGCAGCTGCAATGAAAACTATTAGTAAAAAACAACAAAAACAAACCCATGAATTGAAGTCAAACTCTCCCTCTAAAGGGAATAATGCCAAGGACATGTGGAGAGTTGGCCAAATGGACCTCTTTCAGGGACTGAAACAAATGCATCTTTACACATTAGATAAGACCAACTTATGTGGCAGACCTCAGTGAGTTCTGTAATCCAGTCTAGGGACTGCCAGGGGACCAACAAAACTCCACATTCTTAAGAGTGGGAGAAAGCCTATAGGTGCCTATCCCACCAAGTGGAGTTTTAAGATATAGCACAGGGACCTAAGCTAAGCCTCAGAGACTGGTTCAGGAGTAGACTCAAAACGTAAGTTAACCTAAACATCGTGACTGCTCACTGAGAACCACAAAGGAGTTGCTCACATTTGTGCTAGACACGAATGAAAAAGCACCTTGTCCTGGGACCTGCAGGCAACTGTCTGGTAACCTGCAGGGAAGCCGGCCTATCGGCGAGCATAATACACTACCGAACTCAAGGCAGTGAGAGGAAGAGAAATGGACTCCTTGGTGTGTTGTTGAACTGCTAGATCAAGCTTCATCAGAAGATACAGTCACCCCTAGTGTTTTGGGTGCATGTGTCATAAATATTAACAAATTCATTTGTTCATTTCCTAAGGCAGTGTGAGTTGAATTTTCTGTAACTTGAGACTTGAAGCATGCTAACTGCCCCCACTCCCAGCCCTTCATATGACAAATGGAGTAACCAAAGCCTACCGCTAGGTAGCAGCAGAACTGGGATGAGAAATCCAGTCTGGCTGCTTATCCACCCGACCACTCTGCTACCTACTCTACAACCATAATTCAACAATAATGATATACTAGTAGCAAAGAGACGAGATAACTAATAGCAAACAGTATTTATTGAACATTGACTGCTAAGTCGTTCGCATGTAGTCATGGCCATCAATCCTCATTGACTGTGTTATTATTCCCACTTCCTAATGAGGAAACTGGAGCTCAGAGAGATTGTGTAACTTGATTCTGATCAAATAACTAGTTAGTGGTACAGCAAAAGTTTGAGCTCTGGATGTTTTGACTGCTGTGCTCAATCACTAACCTAGGAAATGCCAAGTTCAGTGTGTGATCAAAGACAGGCAGACTAAAGAAAGAAGAGGCAAACCAAAGAATACACGCCCAGTGTGAGGGACGCAACTCCACCACAGACCCAGCAGTTGCTGCCGTTGTTGGAATGTGGACCTGGTGGTGTTAGCGCTAACAAACTGCTGGGAAAAGTTGAAAATCTGGATTTATACATAGACTGTCCCAGTCTGTACCTTCTGTCAACTAGTATAAATACTAGTTTATATTCTGGCAACTAGTTTAAGTATTAGTTTAAATACACATATACTACAGATACCATAGAGGCCAAGTCAAACACGTGTAAGAGTTGGATTTGGCCCAGAGATCATCCATGTGCAACCTCTGCACTAATTCTATTACCAACCCCTCAACACACAAATGACTAATACAGTAGGCAAATGCCTCCAATGCTATGCTGCATATGACCATCTGCTACTGAGAAGTAATAGCACCTGCTGACAATTACATCATTTATTAAGAGTTACCCAGATGCCTAGCTTACCTGGACAGACTTGGAAGGTACAAATACGTATAAATCGAGTTAAATGGGGGCTCTCAAAACACAACTCAAGTGGTTTATCACTACAGAGGTCGAAGAACCGATGACGAGGCGGGACCAATGAGAGACCCTGGAGGCCAAGGCTCTGTTGCTGATTGGAGATGAAGGATGGAAAAGAAGTCGCAGGTGTTACGTCCATCCTGGATATGAGCAGTAGGCGTTGTTCGCCATCACGCCGCTAGATGGAGCAGGCGCCCCGCCGAATGCGGCCGGATCCGCTGCGTGGGTCTCTCGCCAGGGCCCTGGGGCCTTAGAAGTGAGCAGATCCGGCGAGAAGGACGGAGTCCACGGCTCTGGACCCTAGTTCCAGCGCCGGCTCCAGGGCGTGCGACCCGTGCACACACAGGACTCCGTGCGGCAAAGGACTGGCCCTTAGTTTAACTGTGAGTCCTGAAATCTGACAATAATTTGTGAGCACCAGGACCAACCCTCTCATTTTGGCACAGGACTTATAGAGAGGTCCCGCCCAGAGCTTTCAACTTGGAGTGCTTCACGCCCCGACTCAGGTATCCCTCCACACTGCAGAGAGGTGAGCACTGATCCCGTTTTATAGACCAAGTAACTGAGGCGCCTAGAAGTGAAGAGACGGGAGCTGGGCCCCGACATCTGGGACCCTGAGCACACATGCCCCCAACTCAGGAGGCTGCTCCCAGCAGGCAGGGCCCTCCTCGGAATGCGCAGAGATCTCAACCCCCATGTGTCCTTCAAACCGCCTGTGCTTAAGGGTAGCTTAGAGTCAGCCAGGTGGGGACTTTCTGGGCTCTGTCACTCAGAGGCTGGGGGGATGGACTGAGAGAGCTGTCCACAGTTTCAGTTCTTTATGACTGAAAATCCTGCAGCCTCAAGGAGGAGGCAGCTCACCCAGCCCAAGTTTCCAGGCCTGGCTTCTGCCTCCTGGACAGACCACCACTCACCGCAATGGGGGCAGCAGCCCCACCCCCAGGGCTCCCGAGTTCAGAGTGGGGAAGAGGAGAGAGCCAGGCTGCATGGAAGGAGGCAGACCAGGGCTGGAATCCTGGCTCCCTATCACTCAGCAGCAAGGCCTTAGGCTGGTGGCCCCTCTGAGCCTTGCTTTCACCAAAAGTAAACTGAGGGGCCGGCAGATGGTGTGGTGGTTAAGGTACTGGACTCCCACATGGCCAACCACGATTCGAGTCCTGGACCTAGTGGCTTGCTTTCTCACTTTCCCTCTCTCTCTGGTCAAATTAAAGAATAATAATGATAATAAAAATAAATAAAATAAATAATTCTTTTTTTTTAAAGGCAAACAAGGTAGCATTCTTAGGGTTGCTGTAGGAGAATTAAATACTTAAATGCTTGGCAAGTTGCAGGTACTCGGCAAATATTTACATTTGGTTTCTGTCACCAAGGCAGCTGGGTTGTCTGGTCTGGCATCTCTCCCTCAGGAGAGGGAGCTGGGTGGGTCACAGAGTCTCAGCTAAGCAGGGGAGGTGGGAGCAGAGGTGCCTGGAAGGGTGGGAGAGCTGAGAGCAAGAACATTCCCTCTGGAGAGAGAGAAATGTAGTCCAACGGGCCGGACCAGCTCAGCCCCCTGAGGGCAGCAGCTGTGGTTCTGGGGCTCAGAGAGGCCTGGAAGGTGGTCTTCCAAGCTGGCAGGCAGAGGGGGAGGAGGGACGCCGCACAATGCTAATAACAGGGTTAGTGCTCCT